AAATAATGAAATTTGATTTTGATTTCGATTGAATTTCTAAATTGAAAATGTTTATTTTTCATTGAATGCAAGTAATTTTTATTAAATTTTCCTCTTAAAATTTATTTATGTTATGTAATAATATTTACTGTGTTTGTTAAATTTTTCATGTATAAATATCATTGTAAACGTGAAAATTTAATTTAATTTATAACGATATCACTATCATCTATTAATTTAATTATTAATTATATTATAATACTATATGTGCTCGAAAAATTAAAAGTTATCTAGGTGGATGTAGATGAAAAGACATATCTTAAATGTGTTCAGTGTTGTTGATTAAAGCGAAAAAAAATGCATTCATCTCATAAATTTAAGTGGTTGTCAACGACGGGGATTCATCTGTTTAAATTTCAGTATGTTTAAACATGAAATTATTGCCTATTTTTTTTACTGTGCAGTGATATAAAATATATCTATTGTATAATGATATAAAATATCTCTATGTTTAAGAGTGGGTAATGAATAACAATAATGTCTGTCAAAAAAAAAAAAAAAATGTTATTTGATACATAATATTTCGTAGTTGCATCTATATAGTAAATAGTATAAAAAATTAACAACACATCGTATGGTTTTCTAACTTTAAAATTAATTTCAGTATACGTTAATATTATATAAACGTAATGTTATCTCGATGCGATTTGTATTTAAACGACAGTTTGTAACACTTGTAACAGACTACTGCGGTTTAACTCCCGATACTACATCAAGGATTTATTCCCCGAAATTAAAACTTGAGTTCACTGGATACAAGTGTCATGAACTGAAATATTATTTAGTGTCATGAAAGGTTTCTTACTCGAGAGCTGAATAAATTTTTTCAAAAATAATTTGTTAAGTATAATTTATTCTTAACAAATGAGAAATATTTGATGAGGCATAATAAATTACTCTTATATTATTTATTATTGATACATGTATTATTAAATCGTTACTATTACCTAATCATTCATTTATCAATCGTGTATTGATAAATAGACATTTTGAGATTAAGTAAATTAAAATGAAAATTCTGAGTAAAATGTTTGTCTTAAAAAAAAAAAAAAATTATGTTAATATAGTTATATTTATTTTAAAATAAAATACTAAGACTTTTTTTTTTCAATATTTTTATATTATGATATAATTGTTTTATATTGTTTAAATTCTAGAATTCTGCAGGGTGTGTAGGCTATGTATTAACTTCAGTAGTGATTTTTTACCTTTATATGGAACTTTGGAAAAATATTATATTGTTTATATATAGTATCTATATATTTCAAATATTATGTAAGTTGTACCTAACCTTCTACGTGAAAATCTCGTGTTTACCCGAAGTTAACGGAGGTGAAAAATGTGTCCATATATATGACATTAGTCTCGGTTGTTTTACAAGATGTGTCTATTGTTAACTAGATTAGTTTGGGGGGATGGGAGGGGGATGCCCTAATAGCGCAGCACTATGCACGTATAACAATATTATATATACATATATAGCGTCCAAGTCCACGCACATCATACATAATATAATATTTATTATTATATATATAAACGTACATAATAATATAATATGATATATATATATATATAATACGTTCGCGGTGCGTTCAAGTCTATTCCGTCGATTTCACGGTGATGTCCATTGTGTATTACCCCCGCGCTACGACGACGACGACGCACATGTTTTCTTCGAGAAGTAAACCTATATATCTATATGTATTATTATAATGATAAAATAGTATCATAATAATAATAGTTTTAAATTACTCCACGTTGCCGTACAGTATCAAGGACGTTGTTATTAGTTAATTTCAAAGAAAAAAGAAAAATGAAAAATGATTTACCGGGTGCCGTCGTCGTGTGTATTATATTATGTGTAATACGCTGCTGCTGTTGCTACGGTGGCGGTGTCTGTGGACACGTGTTAAACGTTGTATCGTAGGCATTGGACAGCCGATATGGTCGTCGTCGTCGTCGTCGTCGCCGTCGAGTCGACGTCGTATTATGTATTATATTTGGTCGTCGTGTGGTGCGTAACGCCTAATTAGACGACGTTCGTTTAGAGAAAATATAATCGTGTATCCGTCATCGTCGTGTCCTTTTCCCGCGCGCGCACGAAACATAATATTATATGTACACGTGAATAATAATGATATATTATAATAATATATAGGTACCCACGCGGGACCTACCGTTTTGCCGCGTCTTTACCACCCGATAGCCGTTTTAACGAACCTAAAACCATGATTATAAATCATATTTTTTTTCATAATTTTCTTGTATGTTGGGTTCTTTTTAAATTGCATATAATTATCGAAAATATTATCGCATTATGTCAAATATTGTATATATCAAATACGGTGGTCCCTTCAGGACGACGGTCTCTGATAATAAGTGCTTACAACTATAGCCTATCTACCCGCTGCTTTCCCACGCCGTCTATAATATAAATAATATATATGCATAAACAATTTAAAATAATTAAACTGAATTCAGTGGCGTACCTATACGATGCTCAATGATTAATTTTTTTTAATGAGATATTAACGGATTGTTTACAATCGTAAAAAAAACCGTTTATAGAAAATTATAAATATACTTATACATTTTATATAGTATTATGTTATTCAATATCTAAAGCAATATGGATAGTGGTTTCGTTCATGATTACGACGTGACTTTTCGTGGCTGAATCAAAGTCTACGACAGCGGAAGAGGGTTGTATGATATATAATTACACTAAAGTCGTTATTCGAGAGGAACCGCAGGAGTGAACTGATTGGCTCTCATCACCTGTGAACATAACATAGTCAATCCCAATATCGATGTACCTATTGTATCTAGTAGCATGTAAATTAACTTTAACCACATGTACCTATAACATAATATTTTAAACACGTTAAAAATGGTGAAAAAAAAACAATTTTAATATAATATATATAACGTCCGCTATGTTATATAGGTATATTATTATTAAATCGACCCATTTTTTATTTAATTTTCGGTCACTTTGAACTTGTACATTATGTCACTATCAATACAATAGCCTGTGTTTAGTTTGAAATTCCGTATAACTATATATAAACATGATAATTTATACCTATAATATATATTATATATATATAGAAATACCACAAGGACCTTATTGGACGTGAAAAGCAGCAAAACACGTTGCATAAAGCTATGTATAGTAACTGCCCCATGCATATATATACTTAGCTGGTAAATAATATATGTGTGTGTAGTTTAGGTCCAAGTGCCATCAGTTCAGTTATATTAAGCTCCAACAAAATGGCGGCGGCGGCGGTCCCGGCTAATTCAATTCTCTTGCCCTTTCACCATTAATTGCCATTACACACTCTAAACAATAATAATAAACTCGTAAATATATATATATATATCCATATGAGATTCTCTTATACCCTACATACAAACCCACAATTACTACCATTTCATTAACACACACACACACACACCTATTTGGTTCTTTATTTTCGTTCGGTTCACAAATATACTGTATTAGTCTGTATATACTATATAACATTATTACAAATGAAATGCGAACACATATTTAAGTTCGTTCCGCATATTATTATAAAGTAACCATTATTAATATGTATATAGGTATTATAACTGCAACGAGAAAACTGGTATAAATATTTACGAGAAAAGTCTGCAGGGTGATGCTGTAGTAGAAGTGTTCAATTTTATTGGTATAAAGACAAGAGTATAGTTTCATTATTGTATCCAAATAAAGTTCAATCATAGTGTATGTGTGTGGGGTGGTGGCAGTTACAATTTTTTAATTATTGAGTGTTGACGCTCTAAATTAGTCGATTTGCCGTTTTATTCAACATTTATTTAATAATTTTACTATTAAACAGATGCAATCAAAAAAAAAAAAAAAATTAAGATACTAACCCCAATGAGTGACGAGTGGTAATCTACCCATTGACCTTTGCTTAAAAAGGTACTAATCTATAAATAAATTAGGAATATTATGAGATTAATATAATCATCTAGAAATAACAGCAGTGCACAAAGCTTATGATTTACTTGATATTTTGTGTTGAAATAATTCTTCTTAAATCTGACAGCATTTATTTGATATTATGTATTTGTACAATATATAAAATTATCTTGCTTGTGTAATATATTTTACTTTGAGGATAAAAATATTTTATTATAAACAAAATATATATCACACACAGTGATATGCTTTAAAAGGTAAACTCAAATAATACATTATTATTATTACTAGGTTGAAATACAACATAGGTGTAGGTACGCTAAAAAAAAAATAACAATATGTACTATACAATATTGTGCCTGCTGTGCTTTGAAATACTATATACAGCACTATGCTAATATTATTTTGTACTGTTTTTTTTTTTTAATTAATTAATTTATCTATTGTATTTAAACGGGTATTAACCCTTTTTACATTTTTGATACTATGTATTTTCAAATTAATTATTTTCAACATAAAGCAATATGATGATATAATAGTACATATAAATAATAATTTGTAACATATAATACATTAATTTAATCAAATTATAAGACATTATTCTAATGATAATCTATATTTAAAATGATACAAGGCTGTGTGTGATTTTTTTTATTTTAACTGCAATAAAGAAAATTAATATTAAACTATGATATGAGTGATATCTATAACTAAATAAATATTTAGTAGCTTAATATAATACTAGGTTGTAACTATGTTAATAATTAATTAAGTTATGAAGACGTTCTTATCTTAGACCATAGGTTCTTAACCTTATCGGGGTCGTGGACCCCTTTGATTTATAAAGTATAAGCACGGACCCCTCCCCCACCAAAAAAAAAAAAAATTAAAAAAACTACAATTTTTATTTTAATTATTTTTAATGATAATAATACTAAGAGTTAATACATTATTAAATTATTTTAAATAATCACTTTTTTATAGTTAAAATTTATACATACAAGTTTTAATGTGACATTTGCTGTTGTTTTGACTGCAATATTGCTTTGAAATCTGGGACCGTATTAGACAAAGCAACTCGCATATCGTCCTTGATGTCCAATCGATTTCTTGATTTTGTTTTGATTGTGACCATTGTAGAAAATCCTGACTCACAAAGATATGTAGTGGCAAATGGAATCAAAAATTGCATTGCCCTGGATACAGCTCGCGGATAAGCCTTCGTCAACGTACACCAAAATTCGATTAAATTTTTTGTTCGAAAATCATGGTGTGCCATTTCTTTTGATCTCAGATCAATTAATTCGTCTTTAACGAGGTCTGAATCATCAATTGTCTCCAAGTCTACGAGAAAAGGATTTCGGAACCATATTTCTGCTTTTGAATATGTAGAATCAAAATAATTGCTAAATGAATTTGTAAGCACGTCAAGATGTTCACAAATTTGTGTTTGTATGGAACTAGACAAAGCAGTATTATTTTTTGAAAGTTCGTGTTCAAGTGTTGGAAAGTTTGCTAAATTTTCCGATTGAAATCTTCTTTTCCACAGAGGAACTTTATTCACAAATGCATTTATTTTTTCGGACGCGTCCATAATCGTCACTTCTCGTCCTTGAATCGAAGTATTTATTTCGTTCAAATGACTAAAAATATCTGTTAAATAGGCCAATCCATGAATGAACTCAATATTATCAAAATGTTTTGAGAGTGAGCTTTGCCTTTCTATTAAAAAATAAGAAATTTCATCTCGTAGTTCAAACAAACGTTTCAAAACTTGTCCTCTGGAAAGCCAACGTACTTCTGTATAGTAAAGAAGAACTTCATGTTCAGCTCCCATTTCTTGGCATAAAACTTTGAAAAGTCGGTGATGTAAGGCTCTAGATCTGATGAAATTAACAACTTTGACTGCAGTCATCATAATCTCTTTTAGATCGGTTGGTAGAGTTCTTGATGCCAAAGCGTGACGATGCAGAAAGCAATGAGTGATGACGATATCGGGAATTTCATTTTTCATCAAAGCTGTAAAACCAGATGATTTACCAAGCATCGCAGGAGCGCCATCGGTACACAGCGAACCAAGTTTTTTTTTATAATTTATTTTATGCTTCGAAAAAAAATTAATAATCATTTCAAACACGTCTATTGCCTTCGTAGTTTTTAAAAGTGGTTGACAAAATAGGAATTCTTCTTTACTACTTCCAGAATGTATGTAACGTACAAAAACTAATAATTGGCTGCATTGAGAAATATCTGTACTTTCATCCAACTGCATACTGAATGGAAATTGTGTTGAATCTAATTCCGCAATTACTTGTTCCAAAATGTTAGTTGACATATCAGAAATTCTTGAGTGAATTGTGTCATTTGACAAAGGCACAGCTTCAATTTTTTTGCGTTGTTCCATACCACAAACCAGTTCTACCATTTCTAATGCACATGGTTTTATTAGGGATTCGCCAATTGTATGTGGTTTTTTATTTTTAGCAATACGGTACGCTACTTTGTAAGATGCTTCGAGACATGGTTTTTGTGGAGGTACAAATCCAAGTTTAGGCAATGTACCGGATTTTTCAAAACGGGCTTTTTTAGTTTGAAAGACTTCCAAACCATCTGATGTATGTTGAGGATGTACCGAAACTAGGTGTTCTTTAAGTTTGGTTGGTTTCATGCTCGAATTTGCTAGGATTTTTCCACAGATAAAACATTGTGGTTTTTGCGTACCATCGCGTTCGGTAGTAAATGTAAAACCAAATAACATATATGATTTATCGTATTTTCTTTTTTTCGACATAGTAATATTATTAAATTGTAAGTAAAATTAAACTTACGGTGAACGAAAATTTGAGTGAATATATTATGACGACGGAAAGGACAACGAAATTCAACGACACTAACACACACACTGTACAACGCGACGGCGATGTGTCAACTGAAGAGATAAGTTTCCGTGTTCAGTCGAAATGCTCGTTAAATTGTATTTCCATGTAATATTTATTATTTATAAAAATCGTAATCTAAGTTTGTAATAAATAATAATCCATTAGTCTTGTTGTATTTTTTTTAAGTAGTGGAATACGGACAAGAAATTATTATTGTTATCTTGAAAACATTATCGGAAATTTTAATAAAATATGAAAGACCGCTCGTGTATACAAATATAATACCTACCTAGAAATAACCATTCAATTAAGTTCACAATACAGTTTCTATTTTAAACCGATCGTCTCAATTCATCAAAAATTTTGAATTATTTTCAAACAAATTTAATTTTGGGTTATTTAAAAAAAAACTTATAGCCAATCCGTGGACCCCCGAGTAACCATGTACGGACCCCCAAGGGGTCCATGGACCACCGGTTAAGAACCTACGTCTTAGACGGTGTTGAAGTGGTCTATCGCTATAATCCTATGTTGAGATATAGTTTGTAGAACCTCTTGACTGGTTAATGAATGAACCTAAAGAAACTTTCAATGGTGTCTTAGAGTTTTGAAATGTTGAGCACTTTGTGTAACTATGTTTATAGATTTTTTACCTACCTCGAATCATTATTTAGACTATATTTTGAAATATTTGCATTTTATTTAAGTGAGTTTGTGTACAAGTAGTAAGTGAGATTTTGATCGGCTTAAATTACGTGCCTATAAATAAATTTACAACCGGATGTCTGAGAATATTGGATTTTTCGTTTAGATTATAGATCTCGGCTTCAGTTTTGTTGGTTGAAAATGTGAGTGGTGGTAGTACGACCTATATATATTATATATATTGTACAAGCGCATTAGGCGGAATGACCGTAAGATTTATAATCTCGCACCGACAACGAAGATGGCGATGGCGACTTAACAGAGCTCAGGAAAATAAAAGAATTGTATTACAACGGTATAGTTGCGCTTGCTGGTGTCGGAAAATTATGAATTAAAATAGAAGACCAGTATACGCACAGAAGGATCAATTAAAATGTCGTTAAGCATAAATATACGCGAGTAAAAAAACTACGAATGTTGCAGGGTGGAGGAGGAGGTTAATAATTTTAATGCGGTGGTCCGATGTGTATAGACACAGTCGCGCGGTAATAATTAATCATTGCACGTTTTGTTTTTACTTTAGACAATTACGTACACGACGATGATCATTTTGGCTACTGATCGTGTGTGTCAGTCAATCCAGCGTCGGCGGTCATCATCATCCGCCACACACAATTGACCTTTTACGAATATCGGTACATATGGGCAAGACAGGTAGGACAGGTATATGATGATGTCGGGTGCGCTTTTTCATACCTCATATAACGCGTTTCCGGTGGTGTCCCGCAGATGGGCTATACCACCCGTAATCAGTCTTGTATATGTATGGGTACTCGGCTGTGGAATTTCAAGTCAGTACTAAGTAAAATTGATAGTTGAAAATAATAAAATCAAAGCCACCGCCCATGTACGTCATGCGTACTTATGTTGCAATACCACAATGTCCACAATTATACTATAGGTACTATAACAATAGCTGTACGCCAATACCTGCTATGTATTTAGACTACTGTATTTTATATTTGTCTTCCATTTATACAAATATCCATGTATAATTAACTATAAAATCACTAAAATTAAATTATTGTACCGAGTATCCACTGATGATTATATAATTTTTTATAATTTATATTTGACATAATTTGAGGTATCTATATTCTATACTTCAGTATTATTTGAAATATAAATAAAATATTTTTTTACTTACCTAATTTAAACGTAAACTAATTTTGTTTAGATATAGTTATAAACAACACAATATTACATAAATTCAGAAGTAATTTTATCACATACATCAGAAAGATACGAAGTAACAATTATTGTTTAAGTTTAAACTGCAAACAAAATACAATAACTAAAATATGGTACTTTGTTCGAAAATTATCGAAATGAAAATTAAATATCATAATCGGATAATATTCCTTTCTCTTCAAAACGTAATTAGATTATTAGAAATGATACTATTTTTTAACGAGCTCTGTTAGATTTAGTTTGCGTAGTTCAAATAGGTATCTGCCCCGCTAATTATTTCACAATCGTAATACTCTATTGGTATACATGTAATGAAACATTTTGTAAAGAAAAAACAATTTCATCAACATGACATTATTAATTAGCTACAAAGAAAGAGGTCATAATGAAATTGAATTAAGAACTAACGAAACCCTGCGGTTGGAGTATCGGATATCGTGTAATCGTATACAATAATATTACAATATGATAAAATATATTATTAACAGACAAAAGAAATAATATTATGCCATGTCCAAAGGCAACGAGCTCTATTTTTATAATTAATAAATCGTCTAATCAATTCGATGGATAATAATAATTAATAATATAATATACAGTATAATAAGCATAATAATTGTATTATTATTGTTTTATTTAAAAAATAAAATATCTTATTTTCTACGTGAGCATTTTCTAAAATAATTTAATGTTAATTTTTTAAGTTTTTGAGAATAGAATAAATGTACCTATCCATTGTTTCTTAAATAATGATAATACTCCTATATGCTTTACACTTTCATAGGTAGCTTTATTATTGCTTTTAATCATGAGTTTAAAAATTATATACATTTTTATTAAAATGTACTACCAACGCGGGTATTGTATGTATTTTAAATTGATTAAAACCGTTAATTATTCTATTAGTTTTAAAAAACAACGATTAAACAACAAAAGTGTATTGTTTAAATACAAATAAATACAATTTTTAAAAATTGAAGCATTATGTTGTTCCATGTAATATAATGAACAATTTTTTTATTATATCTTATCACAGTATAATATTAAGGTCAATGGTGGTCTACATGTAGTTAAGAGAATATTAAAAAAAATAATAATACAAAGCATCTATTGTTTATTAAAAATAATAAAGTATTGCCTAAATACGAATTTACAGGTTTTAAATACAAGTTTATAGTAATTAACCAATATTACATAAAATATAAACAAGAAGGTATTATAAATTTATGGAAGTAAAAAAGTATAAATATAGTTTAATTATCGGGGGAATTGAAGATATTTAATTATAATTATGGTGTATTGAAAAATATTTTTAATATTGAGTTACTAGTTAGGTAATATTATTTGATTCATTATTGTTATTAAAATATATTAAAATAAGTTAGGAATCAGTTTAATTCAAGTGTAATATTAGTTAACATGAATTGAAAATGTACGAGTATAAAAGAAAGATACAAAGACTTCCAAGTTAAAATGAGAAATCAAGACCAAGCATATTAATTAAGTACCCTGGCCGAAAGTTTTCATAGTTCACTATTATTACCAACAGGTTCACTTTTCTATTCGATTAAGATACATACTTATACTACTCCGACTAAATGTGGTCATTTCACCTAATCTTATTAAGTATTTTTTTGTATTGTCTGTCTTAGTTATTATTATAGTATTAGCTGGTAAATTGTCTTGTAATTTATACTACTCATCTTTTTATTACTATTATTATTATTTTCAACCTGTTATAAACATTTAAATTGAAAGTTAATATCCTATATTATAAATGCAGTCGTACGTGAATAATAAATAAATAAATAATAATACAATACATAATATATAATCGATTACAATTATAAAATAAAAGATTTATAGGTATCGGTTTAGTATTTTAGTTGACTTAAATTAAAGGTTCATTTATAATATTACAGAAAATTTGAAATTTAGTAGTTAAACAAGTGTTTTTATTTTTCAGCACCTCATAATTATGTGTTTGATGTCACATAATGTGCCGGGTCAACATTTTATAAACTTTTATGGGTGTACAATGTACATACCTTTTCTGTGAAGTAAATTAGTAATTATTTATAACCAATGGCGCCCGCAATTGATTAAAGGAATATGGGTATAGTCCTATAATTCAAAATTTTAACGAAGAGTAAGTACCTAGTTTCTGAAATATTAACATGACTTTTTTTAAAACTATACTATATACGTACTACAGTAACCTATAAGAGCTAGGAATATAATTTATAGTTTTTGAAAAATGTCTACCAGTTAAAACCTTGACATCCTTCAAAAAAATAAAGTGTTATTTATTTAACAACATTTTTTTTCAACGATATCGAAACGACATAAAATTAAATTAGGTGTTTTTATTCTATATTATTCATACTATGGAAAAATATTATTAATTATAATTTTTGATCATTGGTAGCGTGATATATAGTATATCTAATAATATCCATAATATAGGTATATTTATATATAGACAATTTATTTATGTAATTCAAGTATTCCTTAGATGTTTATTTATTTAATTAATACAATTTAATCACCTATTTTTTAATTTTACTTTAAGTATAGCAGAGTTTATGTTGATTCTATAGATCAGGGGTAGTAAAATAGTGAGCCATGGATGGATTTTATCTGCCTAGTGGACAAATAATTGATTATTTTTGTATGGTCAATTAGACGAGGTTTTCTTTAAATTTTATTTTATTTTTGATTTCGACTTAACTATTTATTCGTGAATAACATTGTATGCATTACATTTTTATGGTTCTCAAAAACATTCTGAATTATCAATATCAATATGTAATACAGTAAAGAGCGTATGAAATCGTTAAATTTAACGTTGGGTCGTGATCATCATTTATTGTATATAATTATTATAAGTACACGAGCGGGTGCGTAAAAATAAAACATGGATCACATAATAAAGTGATGTGTTAAGGTTTCCGATTCCATTATATTATTATTTTTATCATTCGTCTATTATAATATAGGGTCTGTTATTATATTT